TCTAGAACTATCACGTGTAGCCAGGTTGTTTCTGAAAAAGAACTTTACAGCTCAGTGGGCCTCACCGGGTAAAATAAAATAAAGTTTTATTATATCTCGTAGCGATCCTCGAGTTCCAGAAAAATATACTCCCCACAACCAACGCTGGCAGTCCGCCCCACCCTCCTCCCACTACTACCAAGTACAACGTTCCCATGCAGACTCCGACTCGGGAGCTTCGTGATCTGCCCTGCATTTAAAGCCACCATCGCTTGCTCAGCTGGGTGATGGACGGGCGGGCAAAACACTCTGTGCACCATTCCTGGCCCGTCGCCATCGCCTCTCCCTTCATCCATCACCCTTCTCTACCCCCCCCCGCTACCCACCACACCAACCCCCCGCCACCCCCCACATCACCCCTCCCCCCATAAATTCCCCAATTCCCGAATCTCCCACCGCGTTTCAAAGAATCGTTGCGTTCAATTATTTCCCATATTTTTGCACTGCGTTCCACGTGTGTCATTTTTTTTGTCTAATCGCCGCTGGCTGCCCCCATTTGTGCTGCTTGAACGATTAATTTGTGCTGTTCGTCTCGTTCGTACAATGCACCGTAATTTGAATTCGTACAGCGTCTAAACGCGATCGCATCTCAAGGCGTGATGCAGAAACAGTGGGGGATATTTATTTTATGGAGGCAGTTAGTTATAGGTCGAAGAGAAAAATGAAGGTCACGAGCTTGGAATTGAACAGGGCCAGGGAGTCCAGAGCACAGTTAGCAGGGCGGAGGGAGTTTCAGACCTTGGGGGCAGCAGAGGAGAATGAGTGACCTCCCACTGAACTAAGGTTGGCTGGTGAGTTAGACAGAACGCCTTGGTAAGCTGGAGCGGAGAGTGCGTGGAGGGGAGTAGAGTGAGATGAGAGGGGAGAGGTAGGAGAGTGCGTGGAGGTGGAGTAGAGTGAGAGGGGAGAGGTAGGAGAGTGTGTGGAGGGGAGCAGAGTGAGATGAGAGGGGAGAGGTAGGAGAGTGCGTGGGGGAGAGTAGAGTGAGATGAGAGGGGAGAGGTAGGAGAGTGCGTTGAGGGGAGTAGAGTGAGATGAGAGGGGAGAGGTAGGAGAGAGCGTGGAGGGGGAGTAGAGTGAGAGGGGAGAGGCAGGAGAGTGCGTGGAGGGAAGTCGAGTGAGATGAGAGGGGAGAGGTAGGAGAGTGCGTGGAGGGGAGTAGAGTGAGAGGGGAGAGGCAGGAGAGTGCGTGGAGGAGAGTGAGATGAGAGGGGAGAGGTAGGAGAGTGCGTGGAGGGGGAGTAGAGTGAGATGAGAGTGAAGAGACAGGAGAGTGCGTGGAGGGGGAGTAGAGTGAGATGAGAGTGAAGAGACAGGAGAGTGCGTGGAGGGGGAGTAGAGTGAGATGAGAGGGGAGAGGTAGGAGAGTGCGTGGAGGGGAGTAGAGTGAGATGAGAGAGCTAGGGGAGAGCGTGGAGGGGAGTAGAGTGAGATGAGAGGGGAGAGGTAGGAGAGTGCGTGGAGGGGAGTAGAGTGAGATGAGAGGGGAGAGGTAGGAGAGTGTGTGGAGGGGAGCAGAGTGAGATGAGAGGGGAGAGGTAGAGAGTGCGTGGAGGGGAGTAGAGTGAGATGAGAGGGGAGAGGTAGGAGAGTGCGTGGAGGGGAGTAGAGTGAGACGAGAGGTAGCAGAGTGCGTTGAGTGGAGTAGAGTGAGATGATAGGGGAGAGGTAGGAGAGTGCGTGGAGGGGAGTAGAGTGAGATGAGAGGGGAGAGGTAGGAGAGTGCGTGGAGGGGAGTAGAGTGAGATGAGAGGGGAGAGGTAGGAGAGTGCGTGGAGGGGAGTAGAGTGAGATGAGAGAGCTAGGGGAGAGCGTGGAGGGGAGTAGAGTGAGATGAGAGGGGAGAGGTAGGAGAGTGCGTGGAGGGGAGTAGAGTGAGATGAGAGGGGAGAGGTAGGAGAGTGTGTGGAGGGGAGCAGAGTGAGATGAGAGGGGAGAGGTAGGAGAGTGCGTGGAGGGGAGTAGAGTGAGATGAGAGGGGAGAGGTAGGAGAGTGCGTGGAGGGGAGTAGAGTGAGACGAGAGGTAGCAGAGTGCGTTGAGTGGAGTAGAGTGAGATGATAGGGGAGAGGTAGGAGAGTGCGTGGAGGGGAGCAGAGTGAGATGAGAGAGTTTTGGGGTGACAAGGTCTCTTTAACGGGTGCGGGTGAGGAGTCTGGCAGCAGCATTTCGGATCATCTGGAATCTGGAGATGAGGAATTTGGAGGGCCTTGCAATAGTCGCGCTGGCGCGTGATGAAGGCATGGGAAGAGGCAGTGGCGTAGTAACGACAACATCAGCTCAGGGGGTGTGGCAATCGGTGAATTGGGGCCCCAATATTGCATTTATCTCGCACGTTTGCACCAAGGCTAATATATATCGCGACTCCTCTTGCCCTAATCACATCGTTACGCTCACGGTCTCGAACATTTAACGCTGTAGGGGCGCTCCGTCTTTGCAAAGTAAGTTTTTTTCTTCTTGGTTCTTTCGGTAAAGTCACGTAGAAGGGAAGTAATAAAATAATATAACCAAAACATAATAAAACAATTCTCACGACGTTTCGGCCACAACGTGACTTTACCGAAAGAACCAAGAAAATGAATCCCTGCAGTCACGAAAGCTTTAAATCGAAAAGTAAGTTTTTGTTCTTTGACACTCTTGCAAATTGTTCTCATGGTGGTTGTCAAGGGGGCCCAAGCTTGTAGCTTTTGCCAGGTAGGGGGTGCAAGGTGCCCTCTGGCCCCACGGTCGATGCGCGACTGGAATGAGCCTTTCAGCAGCCGCTAGGCTTAGCAATCGGTGGGAAGCGTGAGGTGATGTTATGCAGATCGATTCGAGGTATGTCGGAACAAGTGCTCGGTATTAATGACACCTACAAGGTAAGGTCCGCACTGCCAGTGTGAGATGTCAAGCGTTTACAAGGTGTGTGTTTGCACTTCTTTCAACATTGATAGGGGGCCACGGTGGCGAGATGTTAACTACCTCTCCGGGTATACAGGAAGTATTGGATTCGATCGAGACCCTGATGACGGTATATTTGGGGTTTGCATCTTCTCTATCCCCATGGTCGCGTGGCATTTTTCTCTGGGTCCTCCGCTTTTTCCCTCCACATTTGGAAACATTCATGCGTTTAAAAGTGTTTGTCTGCTAGAAATGCCCACGTGATGAGCCACTTCGTTGAGCTATCGCTTGCGGTCGGGTCGCTTCTGAAACACATTCCTGCGGAGGGAGCTGGTAGGAACGTTGGGTTGCTCGGTCAATGGTCAGGGTCAACGGCGGCGTGGTGTATTCCGCAAATATGCCCGACTGTGAGGGCGGGCACAAGCCGGCGTGAGTAGGTTAAACGTTGAGTTTTATAAGGGCACCACGGGGTGACCAGCCCCTCCCCACCCAGCCCCACCCTCCCCACCCAGCCCTTCCCCACCCTCTCCTCCCCACCCAGCCCCTCCCCACCCTCCCCACCCAGCCCCTCCCCACCCTCCCCTCTCCACCCAGCCCCACCCCTCCCATTTTTGGATGCACGACGGACGGACGGACACAATAATCCCCTGTGGGCTGGTGGAACCAGGTGGTTCCTACCAGTAAAAGAGCCGTATAGCTCATTGGGCCTTACCCGGTGGGAAGAACTAAAACATTGCTTAGTTTTAGTTGAGCACCGTACGTTATCAACCACAAGATGTGCGCTGAGAGGTTGTTGGAATCTTTGCCGAGGAGAGCTTTCCGGCTTGGCGACTGGAGGAGGCTCGAAGGCGACACCAAGATAAGAGTCGGATCGAGGCGTGACCACTGAGACTGGGTTCGCGATGTCAGTGGTGCTGCATTGAAAGGCTGGTCGGTGTTCCCAACGGAGAATTCAAATGTCATTTGTACCATCGGTCATGGTCTTACTCTTAGGTTTTTTTCGGTAAAGTCACGTAGGTAAAAAAATAAATAATAAAAGATAAATAATAAAAATAATCGAAAAACTTATATAAATAAAATAATAAATCACAACGTTTCGATTGCAACACAAGCAATCATCATCAGGTGTGAAAACCACAGCAAGAAATTTGAAAAAAGTGGCGGTTTTTTCTTAACGCCATATTAAATACGCACTACAATGACAATAGTTTAAAGCGATGTGAAAGCATGTTTTATTTTTTTTTTGGGGGGGGGGGGAGAGCTTTGTGACGTCATATTTGAGGGGGGTCTGACTTTTTGTGACGCCGTGTGACGAGGGGGGGGGGTCAAAAATCGTCCAAAATCGCGTGACGTCATTTATGGACGGCCCCTTTGTACTCAGTTATCCAGCCTCGTTTGTACCGTATCGCCTGTACTGCCTGTCTGATAACAATTTGGCTTAATTACAAAATTAGATTTTTAAGCTCGAATCGAAATAATTTGGTTTAAATCGTCATCACGACGATTCGATCCCAATATTCACAGCGTCGTCGGCGTGAGCATCGATTTCATCGGTTTCAAGTGATCGAATCATTACTTTAGGAATCGATTCACCGCGTCTCGTCCCCGGAGGCATTCCACCGCCCATTTATCGGCCACGTGCGTTTACCACTCGTGACGTCATGAGATATTAGAAAACGTAGCACGGATCGGCGCCGCAATCCGTTGCGTTCTAAAAGCATAACGTCGATAAGCGCGCAGGCTCGCCTCCACAACTGGGCGTGTCCCTCTGGCCAATAGGCCCCTCCCTTATCAGAAAACGCCCGCTCGCTATTGGCTAATCCCAGAGCCCGCGGTGGGGGGGGGGGGGCAGTGCCCCACCCCCCACGCTCATCGACCCCCCCCACCCTACCAAGCGCACCACGCGGTGGGCTCGCGAGCTCGTGCCCCCCCCCCCCCTTTAACCCCCACCCCGCGGTGTGGCTCTCGACCAATGGGCGCCCACTTCCTCGTCGGCCTTGCCCCACTGACACGCCCCCTCACCGCCCGTCGCCCCGCCCCCCCGCCCCCCTAGGCCCCGCCTCTTCCGCCGGTCACGTGACCGCGGTCGTCGAGGGCAGGGGCAGCCGCCGTGCGGGCATTGTGGTGGGCAGTAGTAGTCGGTGTCGTTCACGCTCTCTCACTCACTCTTTCATTCTCCTCGTAGAGAGAGAGACATATATAATTACAACGACAAACAAACTATCGTTGCCGCTCGTCAGTTCGTCAACGATTGACGGATTTTTAAAAAAAATTTTTTTTTTTATTTTTCAACGGGTCGGCCGGCCCCCCGCTTCATGCGATATCGCGGCCCTCACAAGGGCAGCGCAGTGCAGCGGCAGCCGCGGCTGAGGCTGCTCAGGCGGCGGCTACGGCAGCAGCAGCAGCAGGAGCAGCAGCAGGAGCAGCGGTGGTGGCGGCGAAGGTGCCCGCAGCAGTTGGGGCGTGATGGGCGGGCGCCCCTGACGGATCTCGTACTCCCTATCGTCACCCTCATCTCCGCCGCTGCTACCGCTGGTGTTGCTCCTCTCGCAGCAGCAGCTGCAGCAGCAGCAACAGCAGCAGCTGCTCCTGCTAGGGCTGCTGCGGCAGTAGTGGCAGCAGCAGCAGCAACAGGAGCAGCAGCTGCTCCTGCTAGGGCTGCAGCAGCAGCAACAGCAGCAGCAAGATGACGTACGGCAGCAGGCCGACCCTGCGGTTGTCCGAGAAGTTCGTGCTGCTGCTCATCGTGAGCGCCTTCATCACGCTGTGCTTCGGCGCGATATTCTTCTTGCCCGACTCCAGGCAGCAGCAACAGTTGAAGCAACAACAACAACAGCAGCAGCAACAGAGGCAACAGCAGCAGCAGCAGCAGGGCACGTTCGTGCCAGGCGGGGAGGCTGCTGTTGCTGTTGATGGTGGCGGCGGTGGTGGTGGGGTTGGTGGAGCAGGAGGAGATGGGAGAGGGCAGGACGCGTCGGCGGCCGCATCGTCCCCTGTCCGAGCCGTGCGCCTCCAACACGAGCGGGCACTGGAGGAGGCTCGCAGCGTCCTTCGCCGGAGCAGAGAGGGCATCCTGAGCGACATCCAGACGCAGAAGAACAACATCCTGCGGGAGAACAAGGCCAAGACGAAGGCTGCTGCGGCTGCTGCGGCTGCTGCGGCCGGAGCTGCCGCTGGAGTGAAAGTGCCCGACGTCAGGATGCCTCGCCTGGTGGGAGCCACGGGGGGAGAGCCGAAGGACCCCGCGACGAGGGAGAAGAGGGAAGCCATCAAGCAGGTGGGGGTGCCCGGGCGGTCTGGGACGGAACAGACACGAATTGTGATTCACCCCGAAGCTGCTGCTCGTTTGGGGGGTGTCATTAAGACAGGAAGGCGGGCCATGAGAGAGAGAGATTGTGTGTGTGTGTGTGAGTAGTCAGACAGTAGGACAAGACAGGGCAGATGCTGGACAGAGGAGATATGGAAGCGCATTGGGATATCCAAACAAGGAGGACACGAAGCAACGACGTGAGAGATAGGGAGAGAGGGGCCTTGGATTATTGAGAGAGACAGGATAGGGTAGTATACATTGGGGGATGAGGGGGGTGAGAGCGTTCAGAAGCACAGGCAGAATACAGGAGACAAGACGGGAAGACACGGGACATTAGAGAGATACGGGAATACACGGGATGTCATTCCATCAGCGCTGGGTGGTGTTGTGGCTCGCTGATTAGCTGGCGAATGGATGGCCGATTAGTTACGGGCGAGACGGTGAAAATAAATACGGCACTGTAGGGAACGAGACGCTATCGACGGCGATGGGGAGGAGGAGAATGCACGGAAACTGACATGCAGAGAGTGTGGTATGAGAGAGAGTGAGGTTGTGAGTGGGAGAACGGGAGATATGCGAGATATGTCGAGGAGAGATGGGACTGGGAAGACCTGTTAGACTGGATGCTAGCCGGGGTATGCGGGACATGAGACAGACGCCAGACACAGAGAGATGCATCCCATGATGCTTGAGATGTCCATACGGAGACGCAGGAGGCAAGGGGCGGTGATACAATCCAGGCAGAGAGACGCTGAGACTCAAACCGTAAGAAGGAGGGAGAGTTGTAGCAATAGATAAGAAACCTGGAGAGGACAGAGAATGAGACGCTTAAGAAACAGGCGGGGTAAGAGCCCCAGCGGACAGCAGGCAAGAGTAGGGAAGGGAATTCTTGACATGAAGACACATGCCATGAGTGAAATATGGGTGATTTGTGATGTCCATGGGAGGTGTCAAACCCTTCAACAGCGCAGGGAGATGAGAGATAGACGTGCAGATGCCGGGCGGAAAGACGGGAGAGATGAGACGAGGAGAGGCGATATAGAATGGACATGGGAGACACGTGAAGTCCAGTTAGGGAGACGGAAGATAAGACAATGAGACGTGAAATTGAGGGACTCGAGATAAGAGACGGGGGGGGGGGGGTGACAAGGCAGAGAGGAGAGATAATACGTGGAGAGAAAGGTCTGCGACACAGAGATTTAAAAGAAAAGAAAAAACTAGCCCATAACAACGAGATACACGAAGAGAGCTCGGAGATTTAGACAACGGTGGAGAAGAAAATTGTACGAGGTTAATGGAGAAACATTGAAGTGCGTGAAGCCGAGAAAGAGAGAGAGAGGCAGGACAGACCGGCTCCAGTCACCGAGGGGAGGGAGAGAGAGAGAGATAAACGAAATATGAGACACACGTGTGACAAGCGACACGTATGTGAAAAATGAGAGAGAGAGAGAGAGGCACGGGGAGACAGGATGAAGAGGGATGAACCCATGAATTGAGGTGGCCGAATGTTCAGCTTCTTCTCGTCACTCAGTCAGTCTCATCCAGGTGGACAATTTCACAGCAGAGTCATTTTATAATGGGATTTACCTTTGCACCATGACACTCTCCCCCATTTCCCGTAAAGGGGACGTTAAAGACTGTGTGATGTCATTCACAATCAGAGGTCGGCCAATGGGTGGCAGTCTCATCGCTGAAATACGACTACGCATGAGTTGTATTGTAGTGCGATAATTGCTGTTATATTGCATTTTAGGTAACAGATGTGCCCCCCTTTGTAGCTACAGTACTTATATTCTGGTCTTCATTTGTACGGAGACGTATGGTCTGGTTGGACTGTCACATGGATATGAAGGTAATGTATATGTGGAATAAACAAAAACTTAATCCACCTGACATCATTGGGTGTCAGAAACTATGTAGGGTTAAAGGTGAAAATGATTGGATTGCTGAGCGCATAACAACGTAATGAGGGTCGATATAATATATGTCCCTTCTCGTGAGAACAAAAAATATAGTTTTTTAGCTTTTCCCATCTAGCACAAGGCCAATTCAAGAATTGGGCTTGCGGGGCTATGCGGTGAACAGTAGAGGGCAGTGCGGTAAGATAAATTTTTGTACTCTACTCCAATGCCCTCTTCTATGGCTCCCTCGCGTTTGAGTAATTCGCACTGACCAGCGTGGTGAAGTATGGTCATGTAACTCGTATTACCCCTGCGCAGGTGTGGGGAGGCCCTCATCCCGCAGTGGATTGACAAAAGGGCTTGTACGTATGTTGAACTTCTTTCGCGCCGTACCTAGCCAACCGTGCAAATGTGAGGTGGAGGAGAAAATCGGACGCTTGTGAAACACGTCCGATTGGCATCTTTGCAAACGAAAGATATTGAATTATGCGAGTCCAGTAACGAGTGACATAGTCGTGTGCATGCCAAAGGCAACATTTGCAAAGGGTGGAAGCGCCAACTTGTTTCCTTCCAGCCCACCAAGGGTGCTTTTGCTGCTCGCTCGCCAGTTTCTCTTCTTGCCCATTGTGTGGGACGTCCGCAGAGTTGTGGGAAGGGGATGGAGAAACACGCCGTACACAACGCGGCACGGGCACACGTGGGGGGGGGGGGGGGCACGTGTGTTAAATGCCCCCCGGCATTGTGGCCACACAAAGCCGGGCAGCAATGCCGTACAGGTTCGGCGGCTTGCCGGTCATCGTGCCCCCCATTATTGGGTTGTGTGGTGTGCCCTGTGGTTGAATTTCTCTCGCACCGCAGACGTAGCCGGCACCCGCCCGCTAATTGGAATGGTGCGGTTAGAGGGCCCAGGCAATTGTTGAATTGGTGTCAGAGCACAACCTGTAAACCGGGTTGTGTGTGTCAGCGTGGTGGTTACACGCTGCGCGATCCGGGTTCCATTCCCGCTCACGGCCAACACCAGTGATGGTTATCTGAACCGGTCCTGGGGCCTCCGCTAGGTCGACTCAGCCTCAAATGAGTACATTGTAGCGGTGTGTCAACATCGCCACTAGGGAGACAAAGGCGGCCTGGCGTGGTGTTGTGCTACCCATCCCTGTCGTGCGGCCTGCCGGCCTTCGCTAGCAGCACTTCGCCCCAATAGCCTGTTGAAGGCTACACGGGGGATCTTTGTCTTTGGTGTGGCGGGGTCTTGGCTTTGTGTTACTGATGTACAGCCCCAGATTGCAATAGCAGCTCGAATGGCAGCAGTTGGGGGGGGGGGGGATGGCTTTAAGACCAGGCGACGTGGGAAGGGTTGATTACTGATATAAGCACTTGCGTGGGTGGCCAAAGCTACGCATTGCCCCCCCCCCACCCCCCCTTGACAACCACCGTGAGATGTTTTAAACAACAGTGTAAAATAACAATACTTAAATTGTTGTTGTCATGAAAAAATATTCATTTGGGGTCGACGTTTTATTTTTATGTAACTAGAGCGGTAACGTTTGGGCTTTCCGCAAAAAAACTGCGCATCGCGTGTTGTGTTTCTGTGTTGTCTTCATCAGCATCATCATCATCAGTGTCATCAGGTAGACGGGCAGCACCTTTCTTCCGTGGTGGGGTGATTAGTGGCGTGAGCGTAAACTGACGACGATGTGATTAGGCAAAGAGGAGCCTCGATATATTATAGCCTGGGTGTGCGACCGTTCCGAGACAAATTCAATATTTCCCCCCCTCCCCCAAACCTGACCGATTGCTCTCCCCCCCCCACACCCCCTGAGCTGATAATGTTGTGACTACGCCACTGCTGACAACAATCTAGGTGGTGGTGGTGTTGCTGCTGCATGCGTCTGTTGTTGCATGTGACAAGCCCGGGGCAGTTGGCGATGCGACGTCCGGTTTGCCCAACCAGCGAGGAGGCATGGATGGATGGATGGTTCCATTGTTCCCAGAATTGGGGGCGAAATTGGCCACGGACGCGGCAGATTTTTCACGACAGTGGTGTACGTGGCGGCGTTCGAGGTGTGTGAATGATGTTGGGGGAGGGGGGGGCACAGCTCCACTGTGGTGGCAGCCACCACTACCACCACCTTCAATTCGGAATCAATATTTATACTGGAGAAAATCGGATGAGCTATGAAGCTCTTTTTCACATGTTCAGTCGGGGCGGGTAAGAGCTTTACAATAACACACCATGCAAAATACGATTTGAGTGCAAAGTACAAGAAAGGTAAACAAATCACCCAAACACACACACATCCAACGAAAACATCCGCATCCTACCAGGCAAAGCCCACTGAGGTGTTAAATTGTTTTTAAACAGCGACCTGGCCACAAACGATAGCTCAACAGAGTGGCTTATCAGTTGGATATTTATAGCAGCAAAGTAATCTAAACAGTCTAAACGCATGTTTTTTAATGTGGAGGGGAAAACCAGAGGCCCCGGAGAAAAAAACTGCACAAAACCACGGGGAGAGAGAGAGACACGCAATCTCCAACTATACAGCAGCAGGCGTCAGGGTCTGGATCGAACCCACGACCTCCTTGCATACCAGGCGAGGTAGATAACATCTCACCCACTAGTGGCACTCCTTAACTAAAATCAGTTGGGCTTCAACGTTTCCGTGGTCTTTGTTTCCTTCCTGTGTCGACACTTGTCGTCGTCAACACGGCTGCAGTAGCAGTGGCAGCAGCAGGCCGCGCATTACATAGTCCGAGGGAATGTGTGCGTCGCCGAAACCGTGACACGCTTTTGTGGCGCCGCGCTGCGTGTTGAAACCGCAATTCTTTTCGCCGGTATAATTAGTCGTGTTTTCAGAGGCGTGGGTAATTTCCGCGGGTACTTTCCGCGGGTAATGCTTGCCTCGGTCGAGTCCAAGGTGTAACCATTTGTTGCCAGTCGCTTCAGATGACTTGCGTCAAACAAAAAAAAAGCACGTGGTTTTTAAAATCTTTTTACATCGTCGCCAAAATTGGCAATGGCAAGCGCATTGTGGTTAGTTATTGAGTCGCGTAAGACGTAGCCCG